ATACCCCATTTCTTATTATGAAAGTGGCATACACAAAAGATCCTCACCCCCACCTTTGGCATGTAGGGCATGTATGTGGACCCCAGTTGGATTGGGAGACCTGCACTTAGCACTATGAAACAATTAAATGTATAAATCTAACTATTAAAATTCATTTCACTTGTGACATCTAGTGCCTAGTAATGGTATTGACTGCACTCTATTCCGGGTATTCCTAAATAGTGACTTAGCTATGTCCAAAAAACAAAAACCATGACAAATTTACTTTAAAGACCATAACTAGGTTGTAGACTGATTATCCTTTGCTTTATGTCTAATATCCACTTATGAATGAATTCATCATGTTTGTCTTTCTGTGACTGAGTTACCTCACTCAGAATGGTTTCTTCTTCGAGATGTCATTGGTTTTTCACTGCTGAGTAATACTCCATTATGTAAATGTACCACTTTTTCTTTATCCATTCTTTCATTGAGTGGCATCTAGGTTGCTTCCAGGTTTTAGTTATTACAAATAACACTGCTAAGGATATAGTTGAACAAATGTCTTTGATGATGAGTACGCATCCTTTGGGTATATGCCCAAGAGTGGAATTGCTGGATCTTAAGGTACATCAATTCCCATTTTCCTGAGAAACCGTCATACTGATTTTCACAGTTTGCACTCCCACTAGCAATGGAGGAGTGTTCCCCTTTCTCCACATCCTCTCCAGCATAAGCTGTCATTGGTGTTTTTTATTTTAGCTGTTCTGACAAGTGTAAGATGGTATCTCAGAGTTGTTTTGATTTGCATTTCCCTGATGGCTAAGGATGTTGAGCAATTCCTTAAGTGCCATTCTGTCATTTGAGATTCCTCTGTTGAGAATTCTCTATTTAGTTCTGTACCAATTTTTAATTGGATTATTTCGTATTTTGGTATCTAGTTTCTTGACTTCTTTGTTTACTTTGGATATCAGCCCTCTGTCAGATGTAGGATTGGTGAAGACCTTTTCCCATTCTGTGGGCTGCAGTTTTGTCTTGTTGACTGTGTCCTTTGCCTTACAGAAGCTTCTCAGTTTCAGGAGGTCCCATTTATTAATTGTCTATCTCAGTGTCTGTGCTACTGGTATTAAGTTCAGGAAGTGATCTCCTGTACCAATGTGCTCAAGGGTACTTCCCACTTTCTCTTCTAAGAAGTTCAGTGTGGCTGGATTTATGCTGAGATCTTAGAAGCATCAGGACTTATGCCAGGAAATAAGGACGACCCTAAGAGAGACATACATGGACACTCCTACCCTGAGCCTGAGAAGGGGAAATAGACAAGATCTCCTGAGTAAATTGGGTGTGTGGGGGGAGGAGGGAGGTGAGAACTTGAGGGGGGTCGAATATGGGGGAAATTCCCAGGAATCCACAGGATGATCCCATCTAAAAATCTAAGCAATAGCAGAGGGGCTACCTTAAATGCCCTTCCCCTATAATGAGAAAGATGACTACCTTAAATGACATGCTAGAGCCTTCATCTAGTAGTTGATAGAAGCAGAAGCAGAGATCTACATCTAAGCATGGGGTGGAACTCCTGGAGTCCAGTTGTAGAGAGGGAGGAGTGATAAGCAAAGATGTTAAGATCATGCTGGGGGAATCCACAGAAACAGCTGACCTGAGCAAGTGGGAGGTCACTGACTCCACACTGACAGCTGGGGAACCCGCATAAGACCAAACTAGGCCCCCTGAATATAGGTGTCAATGGGGGGGGGGAGGGCTGGGCAGTATATGGGGCCACTGGTAGAGGATCCAGTATTTATCCCTAATGCAGGAATGGGCTTTTTGGAGCCCATTCCCTATGGAGTGATACCTTGCTCAGCCTTGATGCAGGGGGGAGAGCTCCAGTCCTTCCCCAAATAATGTGAGAGACTTTGATGATCCCCCATGGGAGGACTCACCCTCTCTAAGTAGTGGATGGGGGGGGGGAGGTGAGCCAGGGAGTTTGGTGGGGGAATGGGAGGATGGGAGGGGAAGGAAACTGGCATTGGTATGTAAAATAAGATTGTTTTAAAAATATAATTTAAAGGGATGGGTGGTAGTCGCACACACCTTTAGTCCCAGCACTCAGGAGGCAGAGGCAGGTGGATCTGTGTGAGTTTGAGGCCAGCCTGGTCTACAAGGCTACACAGAGAAACCCTGCCTCAAAAAAACAAAAATATATTTAAAAAATTAAAAGTTCATAACTGACTTTTATTTATGATGCTATATAAGGCAGCTCTCTGAGTCAGAAGAAGTTCAAACAACTCCTATGAACAACAAGGCCAGGCAGTATTTGAGGACAGGAAATAAGTGAGGCCTAGAGACAGTGCCACTGGTCCCAGGTGAGCACTTACTGATTTGGATTATCTACCCATTGATGACAGCATGAAGCTTAGTTATTCATGTGCCAGTTACCACACGTGATTCCATGTTACTTTTGTGTGGTTGGTCAGTATAGAAGACTAGCCCACATCAGTGTTCTCCTACAAACTGTATTTAACAACGACAGGGTGAGTGGTTTCTAAGACTTTGTGAGCATCGTCCATTCCCTTTTGAATTCATTCTTCCTTATTTCCACCATCTTTCAAGGCTCTGCTTACTGCCACGGATTTGTGATCTTTAAAAAATAAATATCCAAATAAAAACACCTTTCCTCTCATGTAGGGACACATAGCTTTCATGTCTACATGACTTTAAACAGCCCTGAATTTAAAAGTTTATTAAATGTATGCAAATAGCACACTATTTTGTAACCAACCTCTAGATGGTACGTTTTGTTTTGTTTTTAGACAGGGTTTCTCAGTGTAGCCATGGCTGTCCTGAAACTCACTCTGTAGACCAGCCTGGCCTCAAACTAACAGAGATCTGCCTGCCTCTGCTTTCCAAGTGCTGGGGTTAAAGGCATGCACCACCATCTTCCAGCTACATGGTACATTTTATCACATTCTTCCACTGTCCACCTCAATGAGGTCACTTAATCATTTATTTAAGAGATGATATATGGTTTACCATCTCTTGAAACACAGTAGCAAAAAGGGAGTTCATAAAGATTTTAGTTAGCAGTTGCAATTAGTCATGACTGGCTAAGGCTAGAGGTTATCTTCCTGACTTCTAAGTCAAAGAATTTGAAAATAATGGAGGAAACAGAATTTGCTTCATTTAAGCAAGAACTCATGACTATATGAAGGATCAATGTTCCTTATCTTAAAACTCAGCTCTATCCTTTAAAGCCTAGTCTAGCGCCATCAGAAATACAGGTCTACAATTGAGTATGAAGGCAGGAAGTCAAGGGGTATGGCACATATTTCAACTTAATGGAGACAATCCACTCTGCCAAATGCAGGAAAGGCGAAGAGAAAATACCAACTACTGGACATGTCGGTAGAAATCACGGGGTGCTCTGGTACCATTCACATTTGCCCTGCTTATGAAAATATCACTGGTGATGTTATCAAGAGACAGCTCACTGTACTACTGGTTTAAGAGCGGTCAGCAGTTGATGGGAATAATAAATTAATAAAGAAACTAATCCAAGTGTACTCTTTAATTTTGTTTTTCTCCTTTGGCTCCTTGGGGGCCTGCCACCCAGCTCCCAAATAACACATAGATGGTTATTCTTTGTGGATGTCTGAACTTGACTAATTTCTAGCCGCTTTTCTTAAACTATCCTGTCTGCCTTTTGCCTCTACCTTTCTGTTTTTTTGTTTGTTTGTTTTGGTTTGGTTTTTTGTTTGTTTGTTTTCTTTCCTCTTATTCCATGTCTGGTGTGTAGCTGGGTGGCTCCTTCTTCTCTCACTCTTTAACTGCCTCTTCCCAGAGTTCTCTTCCTATGTATTCTCTCTGCCAGCTTGCCCCGGACCATCCTTTCTTCTGCTTTGCTTGATGGCCATTCAGTTCCTTATTAGACCAAGGAGGTGTTTTAGACAGGCAAAGTAACAGAGCTTCACAGAATTTAAAAAAGAAAAGAAATATAACAAACAAACAAATGTAACACATCTTTTTAATATTCTACAGCATCCCAGAGCTTGGGAGGCAGAGGCAATCTCTGAGTTCAAGGTCTGCCTGGTCTGCAGGTAAAGTTCCAGGATTGCCAGAAGTACATGGAAACCCTGTTTAAAACATCATCATCATAGTAATAATAATAGAAATTGAATAGTGAAAACCCGCCTTTTCAAACATTTTGTTATATATAGAAAAACTAAATGGGGTTATGGTTCACTGGAGTCAGGAAAGTTCTGGTTAAATTTTGCAACGGGAGTCATTTCAGCACTTTCGTCTACTGGTGGGGAGGATTCAACATAGTAAAACATGATGATAAAAGAGACGAGAGCCAAGTCCTTAGACAAACAAGTAATGACGCCATGTACCAGGTACTAGAACTTCCCAGATTTCCAAGTACTTAAATTTTTGAAGAATAAGCATATTTACAAGACATTTCTATTTAAACACGCATGCACTTCAGCCGTCCTGCCGAACAGCTGGTGTTCGTTTGAAGAGCAGTTTTAGTACTCTGACAGGTCACATTTCTTTGGGGGAGGCTTTGATTTCCTCTGTGCGAACTGAGGAAACTTGACTTGGCAAGATGGTTTGTGGGCCTAACTGGGAGTATGCGTGTGGAATGAGGCACCAAGGAGACAAAACGCTTTAGATGCCTGGGATGCCAGCACGCTGGCCAGTGTGGGGCTGGCAGTGACTGCTAAAGACAATAAACAAAGAAATAAGAAACAAAACAAAACAAACAAACAAACAAAACCTCTCAGAACCACAATCCACTTAAAAGCAGACACTCAGCAAAATAGCTCACGGGGAAAGCGCCGAGCAGAAAAGCGTGTGTGTCGGGCGTGCCGTATGCACTTGCGCAGTCGCTGCAAGTCGCTCCTCTCTGTCTGGAAGACGCGGATTGGACGAGACATCTCGTGAGACATGCGAGTTGTCGCGGGAACAGTATTCAAATAAACCCGGGTCCTTGTTTAGCAGTGGCTCCGCGGAGTGAACAGGACCGCTTCTCCGTACTGAGGTGGATGTTCTGTCACGAGTTCGGGCGCCCGGTACTTTCTGGACCGGCCTTTGGTTGCAGCAGCCGGCAAGCTTGAGGAGGGAGGTAAGAGCGAGCAGCGGGAGTGGAGAACCGGGCGGCCGCAGGCGGAACTCCTGCTCTCCCGGAACCTGAGTTCTCAGGCGCCTCCTTCCGGGTCGGTGTAGTCTTTGTCCGGACCTCCTGGCTGCTGAAAAACTACGGGTGCTGGGTGGTCTTCATAAGTTTGGTGGCCTTGAGTCTGAGTTCCACAGTACCATAACCCCTAGCCAGTGATGCAGCCCGAATTAATTCCTGCAAAATGTAACACACGCACAGTGGATTCTCGCTGTAGCATCTCATTTTATTTTACAATGATTATAGAGTTTGCAATGGTAACATTTTGGGTGTATCGGGTTAAATGGTTTCCACCGTGCTTACTTTTAAAGATGTTGCCCCCGGAAAGTTTAAAACCACATTTGGGCTTGCATGGTATTTCTGTTGACGCCTAGTCCTCGTTCATGTGTCATCTTTAATGCATCTAATGAGAGTCTTTTTTACAGTTCTTATAGCTAAAACAAGGTGTTTATAAAACTCACTTTGCAGTGTGTCTGGTGAAAGTGGCTTGGAACTCAGGTAGCTCATCCACAGAGCTTGCGCTTGCCTTAATGCCTTATGCACGTTGCGTTTTTTAAAGGTTGGACTGAAAAGTGGATGGAACCCTAGGCTTTAGAACTCTACTTTGATTTTTATGTCATTTACCCACACCCTTGTATCACCTACCTTTCTCATATCTGCCCCAGTCAGGCTTTGAGCCCACTTCTTTGGACCAATGATCTGTATTAATTGAAATCCACTGGGCAGTCTTCAAGTTCTCACCTCATTTGACTTAGCACCCTTTGCCAGTTCTCATGTCCTGAAGGAATTTTGATTATTGGCTTCCAGAACATTATATGCTCTTGGCTTCCTGTTTACTTCACAGACCATACCTAAGAGTACTTCGTGGTCTTCCTTCAAAGCAGCATTCAGTCTTGTGAGAAATTTTTCTTATCTTCTAGTAGTAAGTAATCTTACAGAGATTGGTGGTGGTGAACACCTTTAATCCCAGTACTTCAGAGGCAGAGGCAGGCAGATCTCTTGAGTTCCAGGACAGCCAGGGCTACACAAATAGAAACCCTGCCTCAAATCTTACCCACCCCCAAAAAGGAGGAAAGAAAGAAACTGACTTTTCCTTTACTATTTTTGTAGTGTTCGGCCATTTCTTAGTATCTATTTTGTTATTGTTGATTAGAAGCATTGTCTTCCAAATCAGCAACAAAATCTAACATCCTTTGGTTTTATATGACAGTAGGTTTGACCATATATTTTCTTCTCTTGCTCTGATATTGCTACATTTAGTTCCAAGTTCAGCTCAAGTAGTTGCATTTTTTTTTCCAGTAGGCTGAAAACAGAAATCATGGAGGCAGATATCACAGATCTTCGAAGCAAGCTCAAAGAGTGTGAAAATGAGCGATTGAAAGCTGCACAGTATGGCTTACAGCTTTTGGAGAGGCAAACTGAGTTGCAGAATCAATTGGATAAATGTCATGAAGAAATGATGAGCATGACTGAGGTAGGATTCTGAACACCTGCCTACAAGGATGTGCTTAGGGAATGAGAATGAATTAAATGAGTTTCCAGCGTTCTTTCCAACAGTGTGCTCTGGGTTTGACAAGTCAAATAATGCTTGTTCCCTTTGCTACATTTACTGACAGGTTTTGTTCAGTCTGCTGCGCTCTACTTACATGACCTCACTTCTTTTATAGTTCTAAACATGCTCCATGGCATCTCACCTAGCCATTAGTTCTTTCTGAAGACTAAATTAGTGTATTCAAGTACCTGCCTTAAACATCTCAACCTTGACACAGAAAAAACAGCTCATTCCCTGTCTGCTAACTGAATGGTTTCTTGCTTCAGTAAATGGACTGGTATTCATCCAGTTGCTTGAGCCTGAAGTAAGGAAGTCCCACATTTTATCCATCAACAAATTTAAGGTCTTGACTACATCTTAGGGTTTCTGTTGCTCTGATGAAGGGCCATGACCAAAAACAGCTTGGGGAGGAAAGGGTTGATTTTAAGTCAATTAGCAGAGCTAACACTGACTGTAATGTAAAGTTGTTCAGATTTGTTCTTGATTCTCTGGGGTGCAGCTTGTGTCACTAAATTTAGGTTTCCTTTAAAATAGAAGAAGAGCTTTGTGGGAGAGTGATATAAATAATTCCAGCCATTTTTCTTAATTGAATTTTATTTATCCTATTTTTGTTTTATTTTAATGTTTTCATTTATTCTTTGAAATTTTTATTCAATATATTTTGATCATATTTTTTTCTCCTTCTTTAAAAAGCCATGAGATCCAGTTTGTGTTGACTAACCACTCCTGGGTATGGGTCACATCCTAGAATGTGGTTGATATACCCAGTGTCACTCCACTGAAAAAACTGATTGTCCTACTCACTGCAGCTGTCAGTTGCAAATAGCTTTTTTGTTAGGGGTGGGACTCTGTGCCCTCTTTCCTTCCTCTGTGGTGGAATTTTGTCTACTGGGAGTTTATGAAGGTCTTGTAGGAGCTGTCATAGTCTCTGTGGGTTGTATCTGAAAAATGTTTCCTTGGGGTCATCTACTACCTCTGGTTCTTCAAGTCTTTCTCCCCACTCTTCCAAATGGATCTCAGAACGAACTCCGAGGAGAGGGATGTGATATATGACATCCCATTTGGATTGAGCATTCCAAAGTCTCTTACCCCCTGCCCATTGCAAGTTTCTGTGTTAATTACCATTTACTGTAAGAAACTTTTCTGATGAGAGTTGAATGATATACGAAACTATGGGTGTAGCAGTATGTTATTAGGAGTTGTTTTATTGCTGTGTTCATTTAGCAGAATAATAATTGTAGGTTCCCCCTAGGACCCATGACCTATGTAGCTTCAAGTTCTTGGCCTCATTAATGGTGTCAGGTATGGGTTTCATCTTGTAGAAGGAGATGGGAGGGCTCAAATCCAGGTTAAAAGGTGGGTGATTATTCCCCTAACATTTAAGCCACTGTTGAACCAAAATAGGCTTAACTTGCAGGCAAGTCCTTAAATTGTGGCTCATTGGGTTCGTTATGGCTGGGTAAGATTATTACTTTTCTCCTTCGACGTTGTACGTAGCACTTTTCAACACTAGGAACACTAGCCAGTAGGATGAAGCTTCTAGCTAAGCACCAGCTAGATTATTCCATGTTGGTGTCTTTAGTAATAGGATTTTAGGGTAAGTTGTGGAGGGCAACCAGTAGCAGTGGTAATACCCTGTAATGCTGAGGAGCGAAGCATATGTGGGACCCCATTGGCCAACAACTTAAAAATAAGTAACCCGTTCCTGGTGTTGGGTTTACTTGATAGTATGTGATGTCTGATTTGGGTATTGCACCTGCCCCCAATTAAATGGTAACACTATTTAAACTCCTTTATATATCCATACATTTCAGGCTGCTTTTACAGTAATTTCTTTTGGAAGTCTTTCAGAGTTGTCCCTCCCCATAATTCCTTCTCTACCCTGCCTTGTCTTATAATTTGTTTTTTTTTTTTTTTAATTTAGAAGTAATTACAATATCTTTTTCAAACTTAGCATGTTTTCATTTTGTAATTATTTTGTAAATAGTTTTTAGTAACTATACTGTGAAAGTAAAGGTTAATTCAGTATTTCTCCTTTTCATCTATTCCATTGTTTTTTCAAAGCCTTATATAAGGAAGAACATTTCATTATCAAACAGTAATGCTTACTAGGAACGTTTGAGTGCTAGTAAAACATCCTTGCTTTGTTTTTCTTTCAGTAAGGATTGATATACCATCATGCTGTAGGTTTTGTTTTTAATCCTTCCTTGATAGTGAACTGAAGCAATTGCTATACCTCCAGCAGGGACATTAACATACCCCCCCCCCCATCTATAGTTGTGCTTTCAACAATGCAGTCTCCTATAAGTAATACATGGAAAATTCCAAATCCCATATATAAATAATTTATAAAGCTGAAATGGTTGCGTCCTGCCTGGTACAGGAATCACCATCCAGGATACCTGAAGCAGATGGTGCTCCTCTCGATGTCTTGTGAGATATGTAACATTATGTCGTAATGCCTTACTCATCTTGTCACGTGGATATTATACTGTCTAGCATCACAAGAACAGTAAGATTTTGAGATAAAAATGACACATAACTTTTTAAACTGCTCTTTTTATTATTGGTTTTAGCATTAATTTTTTTTACTGTGTCAAATTTAAAAAAAAAAAAAAACAAGTTTTGTCAGGATAAATACTGCATGGGTGAGGGTATGTATGACATCTCTAGGATTTGGTACTGTTTGAGGATCCAGGTGTCTGGAACATAACTCCTGCAGATAAGATGCAAATGTCATCTGCTGCTGTGCTGGAATTGGATGCTGGCACAATATGATTGTTGAACATGCTTTCCTTATATTCTGTGCATCACAGCATTTGGCATCCATGAGCATTTCCTACTGCTACTTTGAACATCTGTTCATACATCAGTCTCCTTAGAAAGCCTCCTCTTCAGAGTTCTTCCATGTGCTACTATGTAACATCCTTTGACATCTGGACATCCTGCATGGTGTCCTTAGTCATGGTGATATATGCTCTCATAATAGATAGATAGATAATAGATAGATAATTCCATAGTAGTAAGTGTACTCAGTTGTTGAAAAAAAGGGTTATATTAGTCAGAATTATGGTGCATGCTTGAAAAGTGTTCATAGCTGTCATGGAGTCTCTGTGTTGGACTTGAGAATGTGGTGCATGCATATAAACTTGACTAAATCACCTCATAACTCCTTGGGATCCTTTGCATAATATTAAGTAGAATTAAATGTCTCCTTGGTCCTCCATATAGTGTTTGGCAGGATCTAGTTCTTAAAAAAAGAAAGTTTCCTCAGTACCTATCACTGACTGACAGTTTTTAAGTGTGTGTCTGCTCTAGACTGATCTTAAGGTAGGTGCCATGTTTTCTCCATTACTGGGTTTGTTGCCTGGCACATTTGCTAGACATTCAAGTGTACAGTTGCTGGGAGGATGGCTGCGTGTCTTTGTGAAGTGCTTAGTGTTTCAGGTCTTGCTACCAATGGTCCCTTTACCTTTTCTTGTTGTCTCTCAAGTATATTTTACTTTTGGAAAGGTTCTGTTATTGCACTGTATTACACTGTATTACATAAAAGGTAAATTTCCTAATGATCAGTCAAATTCCTAGTTTCTGATGAGTTTGAGATGGACTTGCTTGCTACCATGATGGTTGATGTTTAACAAAGGGCAAGAATTTTTCAAGAAAGCCTTGTCATTCATCAGTCTGAAAGTTCATTGAATGCGGGATCCAGAGAGTGCTTTCTCCATCGCTGTTCCTACTGCTGGCTTTCAGGGCACCGGAAACCACAGGTTGGAAAGGAGAAGCCACTAATTCCCCAGGACCAGCCCCTTTCTTTCAGACAGAGAGTCTTGAGACCACTGCAGTCTCCAAATATACCTTTTGGGCTTCATTACAACTGATTAGCAGGGTTGGGCTCATAGCTCATTTGGTGAAATGTTTACCTGAGTATAGTTCCCAGAGCCCATCATAAAAAGCTGACATGATGGCACATGCTTATCAATTCTAGCACAGGAGAGGGTCCCTGGGGCAATCCCACCTATTCTACATGGCAAGGAAGTTCTAGGTCAGTGAGAGACTCTGTCCCAAAAATAGCATGGTCATTATCTGAGGAACAACACCCGAAGTTGTTGTCTGGCCTACACTAACATACATATACGTGTGTGTTTCTCCACATGAACATGCATGTAACCTTGCCCCCATCAAGTAAAAGACTAATTAACTACATTAGTCCCAATTTGACAGGTGGTTGTTATTTGGATAACAGCAAATGAAACAATATGAACCAGTTTAAGATGCTAATATCTAATGATTTAAGTTCTTATGTAATTAAATGTGTTTTCAGAATTATAACCAAGAGAAGTATGCCCTACAAAGAGAAGTTGAGCTCAAGAATCGGATGTTAGAAAGTTTGAGCTGTGAATGTGAAACTCTGAAACAACAACAGAAAATGCAGCTGGAACAGTTAGAAGTGCAGCTAAACAGAAGCCACAGGCAGGAAGTGAATGACCTGAAAAATAAGGTTTGGATCTGTGTATCAGAGCAAAATATCCTGTGTTTTTATAGATATCTGTAAGTACTGGTTGGTGCTGCAGGGTTGGGGAGGGGTTGCTTAAGTACTAGCTACGCAAAATGGCCAAAAATAAGTTTTCTCTATCTTAATGTTTTGAGTGGAAATACTGAGAAATAAGCTATTGAAGAAATTTTTATATTTACTACCCTCCTAATAATATGAAATTACTTGTTATTTAAATTTGGTATCTGAATATTTGTGTTTATAATATTGGTGACCAGTATGGCCTCCTTACAGCACATGGTGTGGTTCACCTTATAAGATAACTAACTAGTTCCGTAGCAGTTCCCACAGTTAGTAATGTGCTGCTACTCTGCATACAAACCAGTACTGTCTTGTGAGTTAATGTGTTTTAGAGGTGAAATTTCATAATGTATTTGTGGAAGAAAGAATATGGAAGATCCAGTTCTCAAAAGAATTTTGTGAAAGATGTAACCTTATCTCCATTATGACAGACAAGGGTGCTAAGGGCTGGGCAAACTAAGGAGCTTGAACAAAATAAGAACTAGAAATTGTCAGCTGCTGTTTAATGGAGGCTTTCTGGCAGTAAACCCCTGTGCTGAATCTGTGCCCATGGTCTAGTGATTCCTTATATACTGGTGCCATTGTAAACACACAGCAGTTCAGTGAACATCCATTTACTTTCAGAACCCCTACCTGCCCTGTGCCTTCAGTTTGCCTCTGTGAAATCTAGGGCTCTGTTTATACTTCTCTTTATATGAAATTTGTACCCTGGTTTTTTTTTTCCAGATCCTACTCTATGAAAACTTGCTAAGATTTTTAAAAGTCTGTCCTTCAATTTTTAGTATTTTATATAGTGTCTTAATTTTCCATGTCTGTTTCCACCTATAGTTTTTCATTAAACTATTCCATTTTGAATAATGGTATTGGTGAAATCTTATCTAAGTAAATAATACTTTTATGTAATACAGAATCATCTTGCCTGTGGCTCTGACCGGTAGTAATCCTGTTTGCATCTAGCTATTCTGATTTGAGACATGGATAACTGGAAATGATGTATTTTTCTTCATTCCTGCATGGATTTAGCAGTAGCCCTAATTACCCAAGCAGATATGATAGAGGAAATATTTTGGACTAGGTAAAACAAAGATAATTATAAAGATGGCCTTTCTATAGAAGAAAGTAAATTTTAAAAACTGGTGTTGCTGATATTCTCAGAACATTTGCTTTTAAATTCTCAAGGTTTACTCATCTTTTTCCTGTTTCTCACATTTAATCTGTCCTTGAATCCAAGGGGTAAAATCTCACAGTAGCTCCTATCCCTGTAGTCCAGACCATCATCATGCTACTGTGCATCATTGTTACCCCGTGCCTCTTCTACTACGTAAAGGCTGGGGATAAGAATTAATTCCCATTCTTTACAGCTGCCTCATGGTTAGTAATACCTTCAGTTGCTTCTAAAAAAGCCTGATCTACTTGGATGACTAGTGTCATCAGGGGTATTCCTGAATTTCTAGAACAATATAGGTCACTGCTTAGTGGGTGGGGATGTAACTTTGTGAGAGATACTTAACTTAGAAACCCACGACCCTGTGTTCAGTTCCCAGCACTGCAGGTAGCAGGTGTGGGGTGGGGGAGAATTGCTTTGCTCATGTCACTCCAGTGAGTTTCTGTAGAGTAGCATCTGGAAAGTCAGGTATAAACTCTAAATCCAGTTTTCTGGAAGGAAACTCAAGGAACCTTGAGTTCAAAGGTTGTGGAACTTTCTTTCCTTTTCCTGTTTAGTTAGAAAAGCTGAAAGTGGAATTGGATGAATCAAGGTTAAGTGAGAAGCAGCTGAAGCAGAAGCTGGATCACCAGAAAGACATTCTTGCTCACAAATCGGAAGAGCTCCGCCTAATGTCTGAGCAGCGCAAGCTTAATAGCACGTCTTCGGAGATGCTGGCCCTTCAGATGGAGCTAACTGAAATGGAAGGTGTGAAGGTAATTTATATCTCAGGTGTTTTCTTGTTTTACGTTAGAATAGTTCTGACTGTTCTTGTAATTTTTCTTAAGAACAGTTTAAGGACTGAAATGGCCTTTGATGTAACCAAAAAGTGCTCTGCAGAGTTTTCAGGTGGATTAATTCATCCATAAAATAGCTTCTATTTTATGATTACTTAAGGCAGATTTTGCATTATAGAAACTGGCCTTTAATCTGACATATTGTTCATAAAAGCCCAATACACAATGTTAGCACAGTGAAAATTAAAATGCATGTCAATGTAGGTTTTTCATTTCAACTGTGGATAATTAAAACTTAAAATTCAAAGGAAAAGGGGGCAATTTCCAAAGTGTTTTCATTGTCTCTCTGCTAAAACATTCATCAATTAAAACCATTTTAAAATAGACTTAGCAACCTTTGAATGATTTTGTTTTACTGTGAGGTGGGAACCAATAGGATGGGTCACCTGCTGTGTGAGCGATTATTCAGGAAAACTCTTGCCTGTATTCCTGTTGAATAGACTGCTCTCAAAGAGGAGGTGAACGAACTGCAGTACAAACAAGAGCAACTGGAGTGCCTCAATACCTCCTTAATGCACCAGGTAGACCGGCTTAAAGAAGAAAAAGAGGAGCGAGAGAAGGAAGCAGTGTCCTATTATAACGCCTTAGAGGTGCGGTGAGAGTGTTGTCATGCTTACAGATGGTAACCAAGTGCCCTCTAGCTGATCTCCATTAGTGAAACTATTTTCTTCTCTATCTAGAAAGCTCGAATAGAAAATCAAGACCTTCAGGTACAGTTGGATAATGCACTTCAACAAGCCTCGGATCCCAGCAGTAAAGGAAACTCCCTCTTTGCAGAGGTACTTACTTGCAAGTGTTCTCATGACCAAATTGAAAAGTTGGCATTTCATTTATTACAAGAACAAGCACGTTAATGCTTTCCAGGTGGAGGATCGAAGGATGGCTATGGAATGCCAGCTCAACTTGATGAAAGTCAAATATCAGTCAATGAAGAAGCAAAATGCATTCACCAGAGATCAGATGAACAAAATGAAGGTATAGGCTCATCACTGGTAAAGGTTTTTAATCTGCTTTTCTTAGCAAATAGATACAGGAAACTGTTTTCCTTCAGAATGTATATAATGTAATCATTTGTAGAATTACATGAGTCTGTATCTTATATTTAAAACTCACCTTTGAAAGGCAACTGCAAATTGCTTTAGTGGTTATTCACTGACTCAACAGGTAGACAATGAGTCTTATTGTCCAGTTAGAATGAAAAATAGTCTTTTTTTTTTTTTTTTTGTGCATAGCATGTATGTTTTTGAGCTTTACACTGTTTCCTACTTACTTCATCCAGACTTAGCTCTCTCACCAGTTCTCACACAAAGTCTTATTTTTTTTTAATTGAAATCAGTACTACTCATGGCTCCTCATCCCTGCAGCTCATTAAGTCAAGTGTACACTGTCTGTATTGTAAGGTTCATTTTATCTTCATTTCTTCATCGCAGTCAAGTGAGAGGTAATGGATTGGAGAAGCTTGTAGCAGTGAGAAAGCAAGTTAGCTGTACCAGTCCTTTGGAACTGACCCCTTCTTCCTTTTGCCCAAATGCTGCTGAGTTAATAATGGATTGCTAGAAAGGCTCCCTCTGCAAGTGTTTTACTAAAGCAACGAGGAACTTCAGTGATTAAACCTGGGAGTAAGATGAGCTACTTGAGATGGGAGTATTAGTTTTCATGTGTAAATGGGAAGGTGATAGCCAGAACCTACCTCTTTAGAGTTGTCCTGGACTTAACATGTAGTAAAACATTTATGTATCTTTATTGTTAATTAATTTCTGTGAGTAATGTGACAATTTCCCCACTTATTACAGTTTTTAGAAAACCCCCAATAGACCCATAGTATTAATTCAAGTGATGAGTAGCAGGTTATGTTGGGCCACGCTCATGTTCCATCTGGATGACATGCTGCCAGACCTCAGCATGTAGCTTCATGTACATGTCAGACACATAAAAATTACGTTAGACTTCAGACACCATAAAAAGTAGTCAAAATAAGTACTTGAAAGTTTTGATGCAAGTGTTTTCAGATTTTGAGATGAAAAAGATCTATTTACTTTCCAGGTCGAGTCAGTGGAGCATAAAACAGGAATTGTACCAAAAATATGCTTTATCAGGATCTTGATTTTTGCTTTTGGGGGTGATTGTTTTTCTAGGTACAAATCTCCACATTGCTGAGGATGAGGGGATCTCAAACCGATTTTGAGCAGCAAGAACGGTTGTTTGCCATGTTGGAACAGAAGAATGGTGAAATAAAACACCTTTTGGGTGAAATTAAAAATCTGGAGAAATTTAAGGTATATGTAACATCTTTTCAAAACTACTGCCAAAGTTTGAATTGAATTTCTCAATAGATTTTTAGCTTCTCTAAGTTTATTATGCAATTAACCTCTAGTTACAGCAGAAGTTGATCCAGTGGTTAATTTTTTTTTTTTTTTTTTTTTTTTTTTTTTTTGAGCTCATGGCAGTCTTGTATGTAGGATATACAGTCAGTCCTGGCGTCATTTGTTAAGGTTGGCCCCTGTGAGATGCCAGGGTTATTATATAACAAGTTTCTATATGTGCAGGAACCTTTCAACATTTTCAGTGTATTGGTTGATCTCTGTACAACAGTACTATATTGCTTAAGTTATAGAGGTTTTGTAGTATATGTTTTTGTTTTTAGACTTTAGATCCCCTAGTTTTTTCTTCATAGTTCTGGTTGCTTTTACATGTTTGCTTTTCTATTTTCTATTTTGTCTGATGCACACACAACACATGCAGGCATGCACATACACCAGAAAGAACTAATTGGTATTGTTTTGTAGTATTATTTTACATTTACAAATTTTCAAAGTTTTTAATTACCTTAGGGAGCATTAGTATCTTTTCATTAAGCTTCTAGTGAAAGATTCAAACTTATATAAGTAACAGATTTTGTAAATGTTAATGATCCCTTAAGCATTCTGTAGCCATTAATCTATCATTAAATATTAAATTTTACTTCCATTTCTTAGAAAACTGTTGAAAAGATGACAATTTTGATAGACGTATAGTGTGTTATTGGCAGTGATGTGCCTACATTAGTTGAGCGCATAATTTGAAATCAGGGAGAGTTGGGTTTTTACATTCTCTAAAATAGTTTTCAAAATTTTAAACAAATTCTCCCTCAGAGAAACAAAAAAATTTTCTGTAGTACTGGGGACGAGGGAATACAAATAATAACAACAACAACAACAACAAAGATTTCTTCTCTGTATTTTTCCATTTTATAGCTTTTATTTAAATTCTTGAATTGAACCAGCAGTCATTGCTTCCTCCATTCTATAAGCTAGGAGAGGGAGGGGACTGGTGTGGGACTGGTGTGGTTGGAAGCCTTAGTTTCAGAATTAAACAATGGGCATTATTTTCATGCCCATGCCACATTATGCCACTTTCCTTATTTGGAAATAGAACTGCTATTCTCCTTACTTTAGAAAGCAGATGAGTTAAGAGGGTGGTTCTTAGTTTGGTGGCTGTAAACTAATGAGTTCCTGCTTAGTGGTGGCTGATTCTGTTACAGCAAACTTAATCTGTTGTCTGCTCTTTATAATAGTTTTTTTGCTTTTGTTAGCACTTATATGAAAGTATGGAATCTAAGCCTTCCACATCAGCCAGCCCTTGTACTCTAGATGACAGCACCTATTATGCAGATTTACTTCAACTAAAGCTTGATAAGTTAAAGTAAGTGTTTGGGATTGTGAATACAAAGATGAAGGGTTTTTCTTGCTTATAATACTGTTACTAACTGATTTTATGTTTATTTCTTTTTAATTGTCAAAAATAAACTTCAGAAGAAACTCAATGAAAGTATCTGTAGCATATGAGTTTTTATTAAATATGCATTTCTTTTGTGTTTAGCTTTTCGATTGATAAATGAAAAGAACTTCTAACTTTCTCTATCAAATTTCAAGAATAAATATCATGTAATTCAAAACTTAAAGGAATATATGCATATGTGCATTTTCTCCCTTTTTTTTTTTTTTTTAAGAATGTGAAATTCTTGTGGGGTTGCATTGTTAAGACTCACTTTAGTTGTTTCTTTTATTACTCAGCTCAGAGAAGTGTCTTTTTTTTTTTTAAATGCACAAGATTTATTCTACCGTGCTTATACCATGTATTTTAATATCTTTTAATTGTTCTTTTCTGTTACTTTAGCAAAGAAAACGAAGACACGAAAGGTGAACTATCCATACAAAGAATGAAGGCATTGTTTGAGAGCCAGCGGGCCCTGGATATTGAACGGAAACTGTTTGCAAATGAAAGACACCTGCAGCTTTCAGAAAGTGAAAATATCAAACTGAGAGCTAAGCTAGATGAATTAAAGCTGAAGTATGAACCTGAAGGTGTGTGTTTTATAAGCTTTTGACTTTCAAATCATGACTAGCTCTGAGAAACAAAGATATGTTTTGAAGCTTTTTACCAATGTCATTATAACTTGTAATCGCTCATATATCTGTAGTAAAGTTTAGCTGTCAAATGTGTAAGAAAATTAAGAACACTGGTTATGTGAACATGAATGTAATAATGTTTTCTTGTAGAATATCTGAGTTCATCATACTGAACAGCACAAGCTTGAGTTTCTCCGCCTTGGTGTCCCAAAGAGTTTTGAAGTTATTTTGAGAAAGGGTCTTACTGTGCAGCCCAGGCTGGCCTCATACTCCAGACTTTCTTTACTCTGCCTCCTGAGTGGAATCATAGATGCATGTGACCATGCAGAGCTCAAAGAGTTTAATTTTGTTGAAGCAGCTGATACTGAGAGCTAGAAGTTTGTTTATAGAAGAACTAAGCAAGGCTTAAGTTCAAGTACCCCTCTCTAATGAAACTCTAAAGGAGCATTCCAGGACTGATGAAGTATTGTGCATGTTAGGATTCCGGCTCATTAGTTGTTGTCTCTTGCCATTCCATTGGATCACAAATTAGTCATGTGTCCTTGAGACCCACAACCAGAACATGTAATCTTGGTCTCAAGGACTATCTATGTTCCCAACTCCATGTTGAAAGTTCTGTTTTTCTTCCTAAGCTAGTAATTGGACACATCTATAAGGTACAAGGTGATGCTTCCACTCATATGTGTATTGTATGATGAACAAATCAAGGTCATTAATATCCACCACTTTAGTAAACTCTTAGAAGTACTCATGGCTTTGTATTTTAAACTTTTGCCCTTTCTATGTCGAGAGAAATCTCAACATTCTTTATTAGAAATACACAGTGTGCTATTGTTGACTATAGTCATCGTGCTGTTAGAGCTTCCACGTGAATGAGATCACATGTTTGTCTTTTAAACATGTATTTGTTATTACTGCGTGCGTGTGTGTGTGTGTGTGTGTGTGTGTGTGTGTGTGTGATGTGTGTTTACACACCACAGTGTGTGTGGTGATCACTCAGCAACATTGTAAAGTTGGTTGTCTCCTTCTACCTCTGTAGAGAGAGTTTCTGGAGCTTGAACTCAGGTTGTTACACTCACAGGGCTAGCATCTTTAACAAGTGAAACATTCCTTAGCCCCTGTTTTGCTCTTTTTAAAAAATCAGAGTGTTTTTGAGGTATTTTGTTTCTGGGATTTAATAGTTTTTATAGATATTGATGTTTTATTAAGCATATAATTTGTCAACCTTTCTTCTATTCTGTAGATCCTTCTCATTGTTTCCTTTGGTGCTACGGAAGTTTCAGTTTGAAAAGCTCCAATTTTTGCCTTTATTTGTTGTTTTGCTTTTATTGCTTGTTCTTTTTGAGGTCTTCTTAAAAGGTTCTCATTAGAGCAGTCATGTAGCATTCACAATGTTGTCTTCTAGTATTTCATAGTTTCAGATATTACATTTAGCGATTAATATACTTTCAACTGATTTTGTTTCGTGTGAGATGAGATGTTTATTATTTTGTGTGTAGTCACCAGTTTTCTTAGCACCATTAATTTGAAATCATCCTTTCCTTGTTACATGTTTTGACTGTGAACATGAGAGCTATGTGTCATTGGCTTGGTTAATTCTTTGGCTTTCTGTTCAGCTCCGTTAGTGTTTTCTTATTTCTGGTTTTCTTGGGGTTGGAAAAGATATTTATGGGAACTTAGTTTGGCATCCCACCAAAACAAATATTTGTATATTTTTGTACAGATTTGTTTTTTTCTAACGTGATCTTCATATGCAATAGAGAAGAATTCTACAGCTATTGGATAGAATGTTCTATAAGTCTCTGTTAGCTCCACTCGAAGTCTGGAATGTACTTTAAACCCAGAGTGTCTGCGCATCTTTCTGTCTGGGTGATTTTCCATTGCTGTAGGTGGGCATTGCCTTCCCCGGGTGTCACTTGTCCACTGTCTGTCCAACACAGAGATTTATTAATGTTTGCGTGTTGTGGGGTGTATACGTGCGTGTGTGCTACAGACTTGGTTTTGGCCCCTTTATCATTCTTTAATATCCTAGTCTCATAGTATTGATGGGAAGTTTATTTGATTTGACATAAATATCCCGCTTTCTTATCTCCATGTAGACTACATTTTTCATTCATTAAATTTCCAGCCTCTGCACATCCTTGCAGGTGAAGAGTCTCACGTCAACAGCATCCTCAGTTCTTGGTTTTGTAATCTATTCAGCCACTCTGTCTTTTAATTAGATAATGTAATCCAGCTGCATCCAGTAATTACTGGTCATTAAGAACTTGATGCTGCCTTATTACTGTTTTCTTGTAGATATTTTCTTCCTTAATTTCTCTCCTACTATCTTCATCACTGAGAGGTATTTCTCAGTCAGTATGTTAGTTTCCATGCTTTAGATCTTAGCTTTTTCATTTATAATTACTGCAAGCTTATAAAAAATGTCCTATATTTAAAACAAGTTATATTGAATTGAAGTGTGACATTTTTTAATGCATAGGCAAAAAAACAACCAAAAAACAAAAACCCCCAAACCCTTCTCTTAGCTCCATTTCTCTCCTTTCTTTGAATTTTGAGGTCAAAATTCAAGCCTTTTTTAATTTCCTATCTCTTAACAACTGATTATAATTGTGTCTTTGTTAGTGTTGTTTTTATATCTCTTCCATGTGACTATCATGTCTAAATATTTAGATTTTTCTCTGATCATTTCAGGTTTATCAGACTCCCCTGCCTTCCCCTCCCAAAGATTTATTTAATTTTCTGTATGCGTGTTTTGTCTGCATATATGTCTGTACATCATGTATGCCTGGTGCCTTCAGAGGTCAGAAGAGGACAAAACAGCCTGTCTTCAGACTCAGTAATTCTTGACTCTCACTGATCAGTGCTTGTTGTTCATTTTCTTATACTTAATTTTTCATTTAGTGTTTCTCTTAACTTACATTTTTCATTTTCTGCATCTGCTTTGTGCGTTTGAAATTCTTTTTTTTTTCTCTAAATGATTAATTAAGTTCTTTGTCTCTCAAACATGTCTTTAGTCCTGTCATTGGAACCTTCCTTTGCTTTGCCATTTTTAAGGTCCTTTATTCTTTTCTTTCTCTGGATTGAGGAAATATGTGTTCATTATCATATTCCTTGCCATCTGTGTTTTCCTGTGACTATTTCATTTTTTTGGGGGGTCGTTTATTTGTTGAAATTCTCAGCAGACCAACCAACCTCTTATATTCCACTTCAGCATTTAGGAGTTCACCCTCAGCACAGGTTAGCTGTCAGTTTTGTGATAGTTCTGTGGCTGGTATAGTATCCACCTGGGTGGGCCCATGGACAGTCCCACACTCAAGTCCAGAGGCCATGTGGACCAAGCGCTAGGCAGTATGGGGCCTACATGTAGTCTGTCTGAAACCTTTGACAGGGATAAAGGGCCACTGCACAATCTAGATATTAATTCCTGTTTGCTCATTTCTTCTTTTCCCTGCTGGCTTGGGGTGGATTGGCCCCCTGGTAGTCTCCGTTGTGGGCCAGTGCAGGAATGAACTCCATATAGGGAATCAGGCTGATGGGAAAGTCAAGTGTCCCCCTTTAAGTCTTTCAGCACAGTCACTGAATTCTGCACATGATGCCTGCCCTAGTAACTTGGTGAAAGGGAATCACAGTCGTGTGTGTGTGTGTGTGTGTGTGTGTGTGTGTGTGTGTGTGTGTGTGTGTGCGCGCGCCAGAGTCCTCACCATCTTGCTTTTATATTTTGGGTTTTTGGAGCTCTATGAGTGCATAGTTATTCAAACTCTGGGAGGCTAATTGATGAAATGTAGATTCTACCATCTTCCAACATTCATCTTGGATTTATTTGTTTATTTAGATTTATTTTGACACAGACTCTCACTATATAGCCCTGGCTAGCCCGGAACTCATTGTATAGACCAGATTTTGAATTCACAGAAATCCTACCACTGATGCCTGCTAAGTGCTGTGGTTAAATGTGTGCACCATCATCCCTGGCTCAGTATTCTGTTTTTAAGGAAAAACATTTTGATGCAAGAAATACAGTAGTGTCTAAATATTCAGAAAATAGCCTACCCATAAGGTTTTTGCAGCTGATATACTACAGTGGATTTTATTGTGTTTAAATTGAAAACTAGAAAGTCAGTATTAAGAAATCTATGAATGCTGTGGTTCTGACCCTATCACCTACCCAAAGGGTTGTGTTAGCTTGTTTTAGTTGAAGGATTTTTAAACAGGTTTCCTTTGCCTAACTTTGAGATCATCCCCATGAACTATAGTGATTCTCACCACTAGGGGGAGACACAGTTTTAAAAAGACTTCCTTTTTGTGCCTCTTCCTGTGATTCCAGTAGGCTCCCCTGATTAAGAATACTCATTATGAATTTCAGGGGTCTGCCATGGGGTCTGGGTGATTCAAGGGAGCAGTCTAAAGAAAGGAGAGGGCCATGCTTATGTAAAAGCAGAAGTGTTGAGCAGGAACCCCTTCTTTGCTGTGGTACCTCAGACCTCCAGTATTTTGAGTTTGAAAATGAAAGGGCACGTTGGGGTTGCAATGGGAGAAAGATATTAGAGCACGTAATTAGGTGGCTGTCTGAGACCCACACAGGGCATCAGTAGGCCATGAGGATACAGGCTCTGTAGCAGCTGCTGTAAGGCAGGCTGTGGTTGGGACTAGGGAGACATCCATCATAGAAGTGGCAGATTCTGAATACATTTTAAGATGAGTGGTAGGCATACATTAGTAAGATTCAGAGTTCAGCTGTCTTTTTCATTCCATCCCTACGAGACAGTACCGAGTTAAGCAGTCTTGCGGATACTCAAGAGCAGAGAAGTTACTACACAAGGTCTCCTGGCTGCAGTACGGGACTCAAACCAGAGCTCCTGGACTCTGATACTGCTGTTTCATCTGCCAGAAAACTCAGCAGAGCTTCCTGCTCTCAGCAGTACATCTGCTCATTCCTAGAGCTGTATATATATATTACAGACTTTACAAGGAAAGAGCAGTAGATGGTTATAGGATAGAGAGGATGGTGCATGGGGCCAGAGCTGGAACTCAGTGAGGATAAAGCCTGGAACCCTCTCCTGGAACACAGAAACAAAAACAGCGAAGAGTGTCTGTCTATCTGTCAAAAGATGGTAAAAGGCAGTACAAGAAGGTAGAAATGAGGCCGGCTAGGAGAATGAAGGGGGCTAGGCTAGCAGGAGGGTTTAAGAGTACTAAAAAAAGGAATGAATTTATATGTAACTCAGTTTCCTCAGGTTGTGTCTTTGTTTTTATTCACTGAGCATATATCTTAATAATTCTTTTCTTCTCAGAGAAAATTGAAGTACCAGTACTCAAAAAGAGGCGTGAGGTGCTGCCATTGGATATATCCACTCCAACCCCAGCTGCTGTTGATGCCACTGGGGAAGAAGTTTCTAGACTACCACTTCAGAGAGATGAGAAAGAGTCCTACCTTAATAGCATAAATGATAACCCTGTGCAGTGGCAACAACCAGCTACTTCAGCCGTTCATCCAGTCAGCCTCTCTCCTTGCAAGACCCCACCTCCAGATACGCAGCTGAAGAAGAAATGTGTAAAGCTTGTGGATAGTCCAGCCAATGCTGATGCCTTACGTGAACAGAGTGGGAACACCCCCAGATCTCCCAGGTCAGTGTGTCCTTCTGCCTGGCTGCCAGCAGCCTTCTCCATCTTTCCTGTCTTGCTGCCTGAACTGTGCCATGCTGATCTGGTTTCCTGGTAGAGTGTGCACTGTTAACTCCACAGTTTTATCTGTCTTCCAATTCTTTTCAATACATCAGGAAGACTGAGGTGACTGCAGAAGGAAAAGGCAGTGAACCCCAAGTGATGCTAATCAGTTAGGCTTCCCTAGTCCATGAAACTACAGCTGCACAGCACAGCATATCTGAGTGTTTGGCTGGGTAGAATAAATGTACTGTTGCTTTCTTTCAAGAGTAGCCATGAAAGAAAAACTAACTTTCTCAAAAGACTTTTCAGTAGTCTAAGACATTGAGACATAAATTTTTAGGTAAGAACAGGTAAAGGTTTTATGGTTTTTGATATTTATATTAAGCCTTCAGAAATAGGGTTTGATGCCTGCTTGATATTTTTAAACTTCAAAGCTGATTTAGTTTCATTTTTATTCCAAAACTTAAAAGCTTCCAGTTTCTGTGTAATTGAGTTTGTGACTAAAAGAGAAAGTATCAGGTGGTCTATCAATGTTCTAAGGGCTCTGTCCTTCAAGAAAGTAAAGCTAATAGAGATAAGGCTAAAGAGTGAGTGGAGCGTAGGCAACTTGACTGAAGGTTCTGGATCTATACAGAAAGATCAAATGTAGGGCAGTAGCTGTTGTGGAACTGACCAAGGTGTCCAGCAACACAGGCATAGGTGAAGGAAGCATGGTGTATGTACACATTGGAACTTTGTCAGACAGAGGCACCAAAGCTGAGTAATTTGAAAGTTGATGAATACACATGGAGACAGGCATACTAAACTATTTGGCTAATCTCAGATAAATAAGTGCATGTTTCTCTCATTTGTGGCTCCCAGATGTTATATGTTCATATAAAACATGCATGTACATGTGACATGAAAATAGAAGCAAAGTCACCTTTTGGGACTAAAGGGGGGAAAGGACAGGCAAAGGAAGGATAGGCTAGAGCACATGTGTCCACACACTTGTACAAAAAGTTTTAAAAAAGTGGTTAAAGAAAGTGAAGGAGCCAAATAGGTTTAAGGAGATGAATGGGGTCTGCATGCAGTGCAGTGATAAGCCTATTTAAGATAATAGCCTTACAAATTTAAAATTGAACTTGCTGGTGAGCATTTGCGCTCTGAGACGAGCTCTCTGGGAACTGCTAAGACTACATGAACTAAAAAAATGGGTGCAAAATCAGATGTTTAACTGATACAGCAAGACACAGCACACCCCATACAAAAGGGCTTTCTAGTATGCTTCCTGTGATTTTTAAGTTTTCAGTGCTACTAAATGAAGTATGTACCAGAAAAAAAGCATCAGCTGTTATTGTTGTGTTATTCTGTTGAATTTTTAAAAATACTGTTTAAGTCTATATGACACATGAAGTAAACACTTGATATTCTAGTACATACATCTCACCTCCTCTCAGTCAGCTCTGGAAGGGGTTTAGCAGGTGATGCCTGCTGTATGTGAAGCCTATCTTTGACAGTGTGTCTCTAGGTGGTTTCTAGATAGGCACTGCTCCTTGCTGTCTGTCGTCCTCGTTTCTTTTTCTGTCTTTTGTTGCTTGAGAAACATTACATAAATGCATGTCACTAATAGACTCAAATTGCATGTTGGAAACTGTTTTGTCTGCTTAAAAAAAACATGCATACACACACAATAGAACACCATAGAACATTTGTTTTTAAGTGTGTAAGTCCATCTGCTAACTTAAAACATTTCCAACCTCACGTATTTTCTGCATGTTTACCTTAGACACACAGTTTGGGGTTAACTTTGTCACAGTGAGGATGGGCCTGGTTGAGAACTGAAATACTGCACTTTCATTCATTCGCGTAATGAATGTGCTCCCATCAGGAATTTTTTCTGTTGTTTGTTTTTCGATACAGAGCTTCTCTGTGTAGCCCTTGTATGTGCTGACCAGGCTGGCCTTGAGCTTACAGAGATCCATGTGCCTCTGCCTCACAAGTGCTGGGATTAATGGTGTGTGCCACCATGCCTGATAAGAATTTTTATTAGAACCTCTCCTGTGTTATTTGTTTACTGCTTGCCTGATGGAAACCTGAAGGTGTTTTTTGTTTGCTTGCTTGCTTTTCTGTTTTCTTGTCTGAGACAGACATCTGCTTGGGTACCCTGGGGTTCCATGTTATTTTGTCTTGTGCTTATTAACATTTTGTATGTGGTATCCACCTTAAAATATTGCTTTAGCGTTTAGAATTTTGTATTCTGTGTTCTTATGATGTCTGTCCCCTTTTTACCTAATACTTTATCTCTGGCATTGCCTGACCTTTTATCAGATTTAAAGATATTTATTAAACATTTCACAAAATTAAGCCTACTGCTATAAAAAACCTTTTTAGAATCAGTCATTAATATTCATAATGGAGTCTACTGTATTTAATGGAGTCTACTATAGTTTTTGTCCTGTGTACCTAAAATAGCACTCCCTCTTTTAGAGGCCCACTCCATTAGGCATTTACTTCTTTTTCTTGACCATACTTGAATTCAGAATATATGCTTTAATGCTTATAGGTTAACTGCAGAATCAAGGCTTCCAACAGAAGTGAAGGAAAGCAAAGAAACTACAAGCAAACCAGAAAAAGGAGCTTATAAGAAATCACACACCATCATGTATGTGTCGGCAAAGTCAACCCCGGAGACACAGTGCCCACAGCAATAGTGAGGATTGCTGAAGACCTCCCCTGTGTGTAGGAAACCCTTGTGGAGCATTTGCATAAGCCAGTGCTAAGACCTGATGTGCTTATGCTTCTGTGACCATAAGTGATGGTCCTTTACAGAACTATGAATCATAGTGAACAAACCATTATCAGAGGAATTTTATAATTTAAACCTATTTGCTGCACTGAGTCTGGAATTTGAAAGTTATATGATAAATAATGTACCTTAAGAACTAAAAATTGGACTCGAGGACACTGAACTCGTTAGTTATATTTTCCTTTGTTCATTTTTATGAATAAATTTATTTTCCCTGTCTTGTAAAAATAGTGAATATTGCTTAAAAATATGTATTATTGCAAAATGTTCTAAAGGCTTAAAGCACCTATATTAATTCATATATAATTTAGATTTTCATGACTCTTCTTAAATAATTTTGAAATTTAAAATAAAATTGCAGTAATTTCTCCCATTTGTATTTTCTTAATTCTATAGAAACAATAGGATGTTAATGAAAGAGAATGGGAAGAAAAATGAGCTTCAAGGATTCTTTTTGCGGGGGTGGATGTTTTTAAGGCATGGTTTCTCTGTGTAGCTTTGGAACCTGTTCTGGAACTGGCTTTGTAGACCAGGCTGGCCTTGAACTCACAGAGATCCACCTGCCTCTGCCTTCGAAGTGCTGGGATTAAAGGTGGGATAGTACCACTGCCTGGCTCAGGATTTTTATTTTCTGTTAACACAATTGTACATATATTTTTGCTTATCTCTTATATAATTTTATTTATATATAATTATAGCAAAAGATAATTGATCTTAAACTTACCAAGAATTTTTTTAATTTAATAGACTTGATAACTTAATTCCATGCCTAATTTTCTTTTTTTTTTTTTTTCCATGCCTAATTTTCTATAGGTAGGTGAATTAAGCCTCTTCAGAAAACTAACAGGGTGTATACAGATAGAAAAGAGAATATTTCATCTCAGGAATTAGCTCATAGACTGTCTAAATACACAGTGGGGATTGGCAAGCTTGAAAGAGATGACAGTTAGCCCAGGGTCCCACTTTTGACCTTTGTGTTTTATTTTATTTAGTATTTTAATTTGGCTTCTCTAGGTTTTTTATCAGCCTTAAAGATATTTATCATGCATTTAAATTTTTTAAGCCTTGTCAGAAATCACATCCATGCTTTCTACATGTCCTCCAAGTCAATCCCAGAGATCTAGTGCCACAAAGATAGCTTACTGGATTGGGAGGTCCACCTACATCAGGGCGCCTGCTTTACTTTTCATCCCAAAATACACGAATAAGAATAATACTTCTTGACCATGTGCTTGGGCACATTGACTAGGCATAAAATAAAGACAATGGGAACCTATCTCAAATCTATTAAAATTTTAGGTAAGAGCAAATTGCTTCTAGCATCTAAACAGATCAGATAATAAACTTGCTTGTTTTAATTTGCAAAAAGCATACTTTACGGAATTAGAATAGTCATTCATGTTCAGTCTCTCTCACAATAACGAGGTACCTGAAGGCACTAGGGGATAAATAACAATTTCAACTCGAGGATAGTATTAAACTAGAGTCCATGTTTAAATGCATGTTAAATAAATGTACATCAGTTTTTTTCCAACATTGTCTTAGCTGGGTTTCTTTGCTACAATAGAATACCATAACCAAAAGAAACATGGGGAGGAAAGGGTTTATTTCAACTACAGTCCATTATTGACTGTTGCTGTAGGGCAGGAATGCATGCAGAGCAAGACTTGGAATCAGGAGCTTATACAAAGCATGAAGGGGTGCTGCCTATTGGCTTATTCCTCGTGACTTCTTCAGCCTGCTTTCTTATAGCACCCAGGGGTGGCACCACCCCTAGTGTCCTGGACCCTCCCTTATAAATCAACAAGCACTATGGGCCAATATGTAGGGCCATTTTCTCTATTGAGGTTCCAAATGACTCTTGATTTGTGTCAAGTTGACATAAAACCAGCCAGCACACATACAGCTCTTAAGTGAACATCTTCAAAAACAAAACGGAAGCCCTCAGAGCTACTATTAAGTAGATAAGAAGCAACAGTTATAGCACCAGGATTCATTATGATTAGCTTTTATGCAAATCCTGTGTGTCAGGCACTCTCCACATTACTATATTTAATGATGTATCTGCCAACTAGGAGTGTAGTTAGCCTCATACTAAAGAAAGTTGACCAAGACTGTAAAAGCTTGCTTGTCTAAGGTCTTAAGTGGCAACTGTGGAAAAGATTAGACTACAATAGAATGGAGTACTGGAGAGCAAGCTGTCTAGACTATTAAGTTCCCTAAGACACTGAGAGAATGATCTCACAGGAGAATACTCAGAGAGTGAGTGTGAATTATTTTATTTGGAGAATTTAATAACATGTATATGATGATCTTGATAATTTTAACTTCCCCATTGAGCTCTGCCTGCCTCCCAATGAAGCATAACAGTCCTGCTTTGTCTTTGTATGATATACTGAGTTTAATTAGAGGTACGTGTATGAATATGTGTGGGGGCTAATTTCCTGAAACATGAGCAATATTTGGCTACACCACTAAAGAAATGACACCCCTACTCCCAGTGACTACTAACCTTGGTGGTGAGGAGCGGGGCCTTAGGAGTTCCTCCTCCATGGTGAGACGTCAAAAGGCCCAGTCCAGGGCAGGTCTTGTGCATGTAACCATAGCTGCTGTGAGTTCATGAATGTAATAGCCATCTCTATTCTGCAGCACTCGCTCCCATCCTCCAGCTATTACATTCTCTATGTCTCCTCTTCAGAAAATGTCCCAGAGCCTTGAAACAGGTTATAATAATGTGCTATTGGCCAAGCCTTCAGTGGGCACCAAGTCTGTATTAGCCACTGCCTATTACCAAAAGAAGCTTCTCTGTCAAAGGCTGGTAGTAGTGCATATCTGTGAATATAAGGATAGGTATTTAGAGGACAGAATTGATGTGGGGGTGTCTATGATTTCCCCACCCATGAGCTCGACTAGGTTTACAGTACTAGGCATGAGCTCCCTCCAGTGAAGTGGTCCTTAAATCCTATCAGAAAGTGACTGCTTATTCCCATAATAGCCACACCACTATTGTACCAGTGGGCACATCTTGCAAGGGCAAGTCATTGTAACTTGTGAGGTTCACAGCTAGGTTAAGACCTTTGATGGCTTTTCTTCCCTAGCAGCCCCCATAGCACCTTCAGACATGTTGAATGCTAGCCAGCCATGGAGACACTTGCAGCTGGGTTCCATCTTGATTTTATGTGTCCTGAAACCACAGTGTGTGGTTTCTTCAGCAGTAGGATCTTACTCAGTTCTTTGAGCAACCAAGAGCAATGGCAATAGAAGGTAGGTATTGTGTGTGTGAGGTTTCTCTAAGCAAGGAGGTTATCCCACACTTGGCACTGAGATTTTCACTTAACCCAATGGCTTCTTGGGGGAATATTACCTGGTCACATGTTAAGTTCTCTCTCTCCCTATCTCTCATACACACACACACACACACACAAACACACACACGCACGCACGAGAAAAAATATAAAAGCCCAATGGGAACCTATTCATTTATAAGTTTTAAATATTTAACATATCAATATATTAATACATGTATATATGTATATGATCATTATGTTAATTGGTAATTAATGAGTATTAACATATTTCTATATATTTAAAAGCTTGTAATTGAATAGGTTCTCATTAGGCTTTTATGTGCATCCTTGGTTTTGGTTATTCTTCCTCATCTCCAAAGTACTCCCATCCTTGTTTAAGGATCTCTATAGCCTATGCTGCCCATCCTCTGTAAAGACAATTGAAAGAACCTAATTAATAGTGGAAAGCAGAAAAGAGGAATTCAGTCAATTGTGGCCACACTGAAAAGAGGAACAAAAAAATCTGGGGATCCTCTCTGTGGTGGTTTGAATGAGAATGGCCCCCATAGGCTCATAGAGTTGAATATTTGGTTATACCAGGGAGTCGCAATTTGAAAGGTAAAGAGATGTGGTCATGTTGGTTTCAAAAGCCCAACAGTTCATGTGGCTTCTTCTCTTCCTGTTGCCTGCAGATCTAGGTGTAGAATTCTCAGCTGCTTCACCATCACCATGTCTGCCTGCATGCTGCCATGCTTCTTACTGTGATAATAGACTAAACTTCTGAAACTGTAAGCCAGCCTCAATTAAATGCGTTCTGAAAGTTGTCATGGTCATTGTGTTTCTTCACAGCAATAGAACACTGACTAAGACATCCTGCAAGTCTGTCTTTGGGGTTCCTAAAGTGAGGAGGTTAAAGCTTAAATAGAGGGACAAAGAAGAGACATACACATCTCAGCAGTCTTGGTCAAGGTGTGATTCCCACCTACCATTGATCCATTGACCTCATTCTTATCAGGTATGGTGATCTGACAAGTTGTTAAAACTGAGATAGCTTTCAGGAACACAAATTTTCCCTCTGGCAAGGTGTTTGTTTGTTTGTTTGTTTGTTTGTTTGTTTTTCTTTACCCAGCATGAGATTCTGGGAGAAATTCCCATTATGGTGAGAAAGTGGGAGGCCCATTGTTTCAATTGTCTGATGGTTAATTGAGAGACAAGCATCTCTTTAGAAGGCCTTCTCTTCTGCCAGGCTGGTTATCTTCCCTCCTCTGCATTCATATCACTATCCTTCCTTCCTTAATGTCTGTACACCATCTCTCCCCTTTCTAGCTTCCTGACCTCTATAAACACTTTAAATTAAACACACTAAGAAGTCAAAGCTATAGTCTGTAGACAGGGTAAAGCATCCATTATTTGACTGGGTTTCCTCATTCAGGGTAGTATTGACCCTTTTCATCCGTTTTTCTGCAAACGTCACAGTTTGGATTTCCTTGACCTCTGAGTAAAATGTTACAGTATTTATATACCACAATTTCATCTACTGATCCGTCCATCTAGACCAATTCCATTTCTTCGCAGTGTGACCATGGAAATGGATGTGCAAGTATCTCCGCAATGAGATATAGAATTCTTTGGGTACATATCAAGCAATGGTAAGTGGCAGTTCTATATTGTAGAGAGCTGCAAAGTGCCGCGCCTTAAAGATGGCGCTGGCTTCTTAAGGCGCTGGCTTCCGCCTTCCACCTTCCCGATGGTGAGCTCTCTCTGTTCAGCTTGCTTGCTTCCCTGTAAGAGCAGCCTATCTGCAGGATCCACGTGGCTCACTAGGGTTGGTAAGCGCAAGGGGATTTAAGCCTGTGCGGGCGTTTCCCTGGGGTCAGTCAGAAGAAGAAGCATGTTCAAGGATCCTGATTAAACTGCTAGAAGAAGATCTCTCCTGAGTTGTGTTTTTCCTTGCTGGTTGAGGTTGGGTGCAACACTATATTTAGCTTTTTTAGAGACCTACACACTGATTTCTATAGAGGGGCACCTGTTTACAGTCCCACCAACAGCAAATAGGAGGTCCCTTTTCCCCAGGACCTCATT